ACCGGCTCACACACACCAACACACACCAACACACACCAACACACACCGACACACACACACCAACACACACACACCAACACAAACCGGCTCACACACACCAACACAAACACACACACACACACACAGAGAAAGTGAGGACCAGAAAAATGTCCACTTTTTCAAAAATAGTCCTCACTTTGTTGGTTAAAGACTAGTTATGGTTCTCACTCTGATGCAGCAACAAGGACACACACACACACACCAACACACACACACACACCAACACACACACACACACCCTAACACACACACACACACCCTAACACACACACACACCAACACACACACACCAGGAACAGCGCTGGCATGTTGGCACCGGCTTCCATTTGTGGTTTCCTCTATTGTTTTTCCTCATATCCAGGAGCCCAACGCAGGCTTTGATTTCTGCTCGTTTAAAGAACTGGACACAACTTTCTGGTCATTTATCCACAATTGAACTACTCTAAAACAAAAATCCACCACGTACATCATATGATAGACCAAAGAAAAGAGACAAAAATGTGTTGGAATCTTTTCTTTTTTTCATATTAAGAAAAAGGCAGTTAATCCTATAACTTTCTGTGCTGAAATAATAGGAACACAAACTCTTTTTGTGCCTTTTTAAGCTTTTTTTTTTGGTGTAACATGAAAATGTATCCTTCATGTGCACCATCTGCTATTTTGATGATGATCTATTAAACAACTAAAAAGGAAGTAAAAAATAAATAAATATTCAAACGTTTCCTTCATGCAACTGTGAATGCTTATGTAGAACAAATAGCCAAAAAAAATCCAACCGAACCATCTCAATTAAAAAAAAAAAGTCCAGTTTGAACATCTAGGGTCATAAAACACCAAGATATCAACTGTGGATGCTTATGTAGAACAAATAGCCCCAAAAAAATCAACCAAACCATCTCATTTTTAAAAAATAAATCCTGTTTAAACATCTAGGGTCATAAAACACCAAGATATCAACTGTGGATGCTTATGTAGAACAAATAGCCAAAAAAATCCAACCGAACCACCTCATTTTTTCTTAAAAAGTCCTGTTTAAACATCTAGGATCATAAAACACCAAGATATCAACTGTGGATGCTTAAGTAGAACAAATAGCCAAAAAAATCAACCGAAGCATCTCATTTTTAAAAAATAAATCCTGTTTAAACATCTAGGGTCATAGATATCAACTGTGGATGCTTAAGTAGAACAAATAGCCAAAAAAAATCCAACCGAACCATCTCCTTTTTAAAAAATAAATCCAGTTTTAAACAACTAGGGTCATAAAACACCAAGATATCAACTGTGGATGCTTATGTAGAACAAATAGCCAAAAAAATCCAACCGAACCATCTCATTTTTAAAAAATAAATCCTGTTTAAACATCTAGAGTCATAAAACACCAAGATATCAACTGTGGATGCTTAAGTAGAACAAATAGCCAAAAGAATCCAACCGAACCATCTCATTTTTTGAAAAATAAATCCTGTTTAAACATCTAGGGCCATAAAACACCAAGATATCAACTATGGATGCTTATGTAGAACAAATAGCCAAAAAAAAATCAACCGAACCATCTCATTTTTTTAAAAAAAAGTCCTGTTTAAACATCTAGGGCCATAAACACCAAGATATTAATTCAAAACAACAGTAAGTGGAGTGTTGGGATGAAACACGTCACAGTATAAAGTGATGAGATCCTTTTATGAGGGAAGGAGTGCGCCTCAGCTGAATCACAGCGAACAGTCAATTAGCTGAGTGGATGTCTGCAAATCATTACGCTTCAAAGTGAGACGCAACTCATAAAAACGCAGCCTACAAGCGCCAAACGAGCATCTGTTCAAAGAGCAGGTTCCAACCCCCGGCATCTAAACATTTACTACATAATTCTGTTGTAAAATACCGAAAGTGCTACTTGAATGCGTTTTAAAAAAAAAAAAAGTCAACTTTAGATACAGCAAGTTTAAGTATTTGACATTATAATAAGAGACTTTTCTCCGTAATTCTCTGCAATTTGACATTTTTTTAAGGAGTAAACGGATTCTGTCTTGTTAAACTGGCTATATTTTTGTGTTATAAGGCTATTTAAATAGTAGATAGTTTATGATGTGGTGCAATGGGAAATTTAACATTTTGATTTCCTGTTTTTCATTCTTATTTATTCATGATTATTATCAAAAGGCGTGACTTTAATGGCCGTTTTCACAGAGGTCGCCCCGAAAATAACCTTTAACCATAAATAGAAAAAGGGAAAAATCCTCAATAACATTTAACACGGGCATGCAAACGCGAACAAACAACAACAAAAAGAAGAAGAGAAAAGCGTGAACGTACCTTTAGCTGGAAGTAGAGCACCAGAAAATGTAAACACCTAAGCGGAGAGAGAAGGGAGGAGGAGTGAATCACACGAGCAATTACACGGAAAATAAACGCAGCCTACCTGGATGACAGCAACGCGCAAATATGAAGCTTTTGGCGACTTCTATTGGCAAGAATGCACGGCTCCGTGCGCGTAAACGGAGAGAAATGAGAAGAACACTTACAGGTAAATGAACCTCGAAGGCTGCAGAGACATCTTGACTCTCGGAAATACGGCAGGAATCCACCTGCTTCCACGGATCTGGATCTCGCGTTTTTCCCCGTTCCGTGCGTCTTTACGCACGGCTCAGCGAGGCAAAAGTGGAATCCCAGTGTAAGGAGGATAGATTACGGGAGAAGAGCAGCAGCAGCAGAAGAGATACGAAGCGCAACATTGGTCGCTTCCTTGTCCAGGGAACTATATCCAGGAGATTATTTCTGCTCCTCCAAATACCGCAAAATCTCCGCAAACCGACAAAAAAAACCGGCGAAGCATTCGCTTTTGTGGATTCACAAAAAAAGCATCGTCCTTTGTCAAACCAAAAAAAATATCCTTCGAGTTGTTGTGTTTTTTTTGTTTGTTTCTGTTTTTAAATTGGCAGTTAAATCACCCCCAAAACTCGTTTGTGATCCTCCAAAAAACCAGAAACTCTCCCAGACTCCGTCCGTATATACCTGGGCAGGATTTTTGTTCTACACCTTGCAAAGGGTGGAAAAACGAGATGTAAAAAGCGGGTTGAATGAAAACGCAAACCCAAGTCGGTCCAAAACAAAAAACAAATTTATCCAAGCAAAGTGTAAAGTGGTCGTTGTTGGTTTTTTTCTCGTTTCTGGTTGTTTTCTGCGGAGCGTGAGTCCACAGAAGCGGGTCCCTGGAGCTTTTGGGGCCGGGGATGGCGCACTGCTGCCTGTCAGCGGGGTTTGCGCGTCTGCGGCTGCAGATTTGGGCACAGAGAGGCTTTTTTGTTGTTGGTGGGTGGAAACATGTCAGTGGTTTGCACCTGATAGGATAATAGTTGAAAGACCATCGGCTTAGTGCGTTTTTTTTCTCCTCCTGGTGGGCAAATCGCTGCGCAAAGAACTTGAACAAGGAGATTAAGTCCATGTTGGTTTGTTCCTTTTTTTTTTCAAAAATGACTTTTTATTTTGTTTTCACCTCTAAGTTCAGAAGTATTTATTAATGTTCCAGGCTAAAAACATGACCATC